GTGATTCTTGACAAAAACAGTAAAAACACACATTGGAGAAAAAATTGATGCTATGGTTTGGAAGTGAAGTATCTTCCAAAAGCTCATGTGTGAGACAACACAAGAGGAGAAACCATTGGATTGTAAGAGTCTTAATGCAATCATTGCATTATTCCCCTGATGGAGATTAACTGAGTGGTAACTGAAGGCTAGTGGGATGTGGGTTGAGTGGGTAGGTTTCTGAAGGCATGGCCTTGGGGTATATATTGTGTATCTGGAGAGTGGAGTCTGTCTCTTCTTTCTGATCACCATGCAGGCTGCTTCCTTCTGCCACACTCTTCCACCATGATGTTCAGTCACACCTCTAGCCCCAGTGAATGGAGCCTGCTATCTATAAATAGAGACTTATGAAACCCATGAGCCCCTGAATAAACCATTTTTTCTCTACAATTGTGCTGGTTGTGTCTCTTAGTCACAGCAGTAAAAAAACTGACTAAATGGACTTTTTAACACATGGAAAAACAGGATATCCATATATAGAAGAATGAAAGGAGCTTCCTCTGTCTCACCTGCATAAACATCACCTAAAATGGATCAGAGGCCTAGTAATTAGACAAGAATCTTTACAATTGCTAGAAAACATAGGGCCAACTCTTCAATACAAAGGCACAAACAGTGACTACCTTAATAAAACTTCCAAAGCTCAAGAAATGAAACCAAGACTCAATTGGGGCAGCTTCAAATTTTAAAACTTCAAACAGCAAAGGAAACAAGATGTTGAAAATAGAGCCTGAAGAATGGGAGAAACTCTTGCCACATATTCTTCTGACAGAGGATTCATATCCAGAATATGCAAACATCAAAATAACTCAAATAACCCAGTCAGTCAATGGGCAAGTGATCTAAACAGATATTTCTCAGAAGATGACATGAAAATGGCCAACAAATATATGAAAAAAAACTATTCAAAATTCTTAACAATAAAGGAAATGAAATAAAAGTGAGGTTTCATCTCAACTCAGTTAGAATTATAAGATCCAAGATAAATAATAATAATTGCCTTGTTTTAAATTATTGTGAATTGAATAGTTTTCCTGATTTTAGTCTCAGTAGATTAATTATTGGAATATTGAAAATGTATTGATTTTTTAAAAAATATTTACTCTTTTAGTTGTAGTTGGACACAATACCTTTATTTTATTTGTTTATTGTATGTGATACTGAGATTGAAACCTGGGCCTTGAATGAGCTATGTGAGTGCTCTGCTGCTGAGACACAATCCCAGCCTGAAAAGGTATTGATTTTTGAATGCTAATTTTGTATTCTATTTTCCTGATTTTGTATATAAGTTTTAGAATTCTGCTGATGGAGATGTTTCAGTATACTACACACAGGATCCTTTCTTCAGGAAACAGATAATTTGACCTCTTTTCATATTTGTATCTCCTTAATTTCATCTCTTGTCTGATTGCTCTGCCTTTAGTTTCAATAACTATATTGACCAGGAGTGGTGAGAGTGAACATCCTTTTCTTGTTCCTGATTTCAGAGAAACAAGTTTTTCTTCATTCAATAGGAAGTTGGTTTTGTATTTGCTATACATAGCCTTTAAATGTTGAGGTAAGTTCATTCTATCCCTATTTTCTTCATAAGTTTTAACATGAATGGGAGCTAAAATTTATCAAATGTTTTTTTTTCTTTATCTATTGAACAGAGGTCAACTAAAATGAATCAATGACCTTGGAATTAGACCAGAAACTTTGTGATTGACAGAAGAATATAGGCTTACTATTCCAACATATTGGCACAGGCACCTTATCAAGACCCTGAAAGCTCAAGAAATAAAACTAAGAATCAACAAGTGGGATGGTATCACTTAAAATATTTCTGCACAGCAAAGGAAATAAAATAATGAATAGAGAGCCTATAAAATAGAAGAAAATATTTGCCAGCTATTCTTTTGACAGAGTATTAATATCCAGAATATATAAACATTTCAAAAAGTTAATACCTAAGAAGCACTTAATCTAATTAATAAATGGACAGTAAAGCTAAACAGGTATTTTTCAAAAGAAGTAATACAAATGACCAAGAAATATATGAAAAGCTGCTTAACATCTATACCAATCAAGGGAATGCAGATCAAAACTAAATTTTTATGTCATCTTGTCCCTGTTAGAATGGCAATCATCAAGAATATACATAATAATAAATGCTGGAGTGGATGTGGGGGAAATACTCATTCATTTTTGGTGGCACTGCAAATTAATACAGCCACTTTGGAAAATAGTATAAAGAGTTCTCAAAAGACTAGGAATAAACAACTTCATGACTATGTCACTCCTTGGTTTTATCCAAAGAACTAAATTAAAGATACTGGCATGATATTGGCATATCAGTGTTGATGGAAGCACAATTTACAATAGCCAAGTTATGGAAACAGCCTGGGTGCCTGTCAGCTGATGAATGCATATAGAGAATGTGGGAAAATTTTACTCAGCCATAAAGAAGAATTAAATTATGGTATTTGCATATAAACAGCCAGAACTGGAGAGCATCATACTAAGGAAAATATACCAAACTCAAAAAGTTAAAAATTGAATTTCCACTCTTATATGCAGAAGTTGGAGCAAAATAAGGCATGAAGGGGAAAAAAGGGTGGAATTCTGAATTAAAATTGACTCATGAAAGAAAAAGAGAGATAAGTGGAAGAGAATAAGGGGGTTGATGCGAAGGGAGAAAGGATGAGAAAAAGGAGGAACTGTAGAATGAAATCAACTAAATTATGTTAAACATAAATATACCATGTTAAAATATATGTGTGTATGTATATATAATTGTAGATATATATCACTAATTTATTTAAAAAACTATAAATTAACAGAAAGGAGGTAAGTAAAGAAAGAGGAACAGAAGAAGGGAGAGGAAAAAAGTGGAATACGGGGAATAAAAATGGAGAAAACATTTTGTGGGTGTATAAATAGTTCAAAATGAACACTACTATTATGGAGAAATATAATGCACTGATAAAAATTGAAGAATTCAATAAATAAATGTTGGTGAGGATGTGGGGATAAAGAAATTCACACACATTCATGGTGATATCGTAAATTAGTATGACAACTTTGGAAAGCAGTATGAACATTGTTTAAAAGAGTAGGGATGCAGCTACCATATGACCCTGCTATTCTACTTGTTGATATGTATAAAAGAGCTGAAATCAGCATAAAACCATGATACAGGTATATCAGTGTTTATAATAGTTGACTTTATAGTGACCTAATTATGAAACCAGCCTAGGTGTCTCCTAATAAATTAATGAATAAAAAATTATGCACACACACACACACACACACACACACACAAAATACCCACAAACACACATAATAGACTTCTATTCAGTCATTAAGAAAAATTAAATTATATCATTTGCTGGTAAATTGGTAGAACTGGAGAAAATCATGGAACTGGAGAAAATAAAGCCAGATTCAGGATGATAATAGTTGAAACTTTTCTCTCATATGAATAATCTACATAGAAGTAAGAAATAAAAAGAGAGATTATGAAAATAGAAACAATAACAGTGTATTAGAAGGTGGTTTAGAGGAGGCACGATAGGGAGAAATGGAGAGGATCTCTGAAATGAAATTCTCTATATTATGCTCTCTGTGAGCTTGAATATATCACAATGAATTTTACTTTTATGTATGAATGTAATGTTTTCACTACAAAAACAATAAATACATAGAAGGCAGACCTGTTGATAAAGAGAAGACAATCAGGGGGAAGGAAGAGGGAAAGGGGAAGCACTGGATATTTAATAGGAGCAAATGATGCTATATGTATTTATGAATATGTAAAAATTAATGCCACTATTATGAATAATTATATTGCAGTAATTAAAATACTAAAATGCTCTCCAAATTACTTCTCACATATTTAATGACAACCATACTTGATGTTCAAACGTAGGTCTTTGTTCGCTTTGTGAAGAATGGAACAAAGCCACAAAGTCTCTGCAGCTCATAAAGATATGTCTCAATCCCAAGGCCAGTGTGTGCAGACAGAAGACACAATATATACCTCCTTTCAGGAAAAATAAAATACCTTCAATAAACAGAAAAAGGAAATATATGACATCATCTTGTTTTACAAGGCTACTTAGAATAAAGTAAATAAATCTTGTAGTAAAGGACAACTGATCATTGATATGTCCAAATCCATTTTACCATGATAATAATGCAAGACCACTGGAGACATAGTTATCCACTTACCTGTCTGAGAACTCCTGGCACCACCTCCCTCTTCTGGGAATAAATTCTTCTCCTTCATTCCAAAGGAAGAAGGAATTTCAGGAACAGGTAACTCTTCAACATCATCATAACCACTGCTTGTGGCAACTGCATGCTGTCCTCCAGGTTCTGAAAACAGGGAATAAGGAGGAAGAGAAAGATATTTCTTAGTCTTGGTGATGTCTTCAGTCTGTTGTAATGAAGAGATTCTATGAGATTCTCATAGCTGAGAAATATAGGTACCATATTCCAAGGCTGTCCCGAGGGCATACATTTGATGTCCATATTCTTAGATCATGTAAATCATCTAAATATTTCAATGTATGAAATTCAATAATATTTTACTAACATGTCATGCCAAAAAAACATCAATAAAACTTATGGTGTAAGTTTGATGCACTCTTTTCAGGCATATGATAAAGGGTTGAAAAATGTGTACATATAAGATATTGAGGGTGATTTCATCAGGCCTAAGGAGAACCCAGGCTTTTCATATGGTCTCTGAGGCAATGGAGATACAGAAGAGAATCCTGGATTTCTCTCTCACACAGATAGGCTATTCTACCAATTTGAATCCCAGAAGGATTCCTAGTGCTTTGCTGTCCTTAAGATTTAATTTTAAAGAGCACTCCTGCACATGTCTCATCCTAGGAACTCTCCATTTTTACCACTTGGGGAAGGTCCATGATGTCCTCCTTTCTTAGGTCATTTTAGAGAAGGTCCTCCAATGATTGATAAGTACAGGCATCACACACACTCCTTGTGTGCTAGTGATTATGAAGGTCATTTTTTGTCTTCATATTCCATAAACCACAAAATATTCCATACATCCCTGTATTTCAGGTCAAATCCATATGATTTCTTTCACCATAGAATTTGTGAGATGACCAAGTTCAAATGTTCTTTTTAAAGTTATGGCCTTAGATTTTATAATGATATATTTGAGATGTGTCTGTGACCATATGGAGGTATCTATGGAAACCAACAGATTAGAATCTCATCTTTCCATTTCTGTATGAAAGGGAAAGTTCTTCTCAGAGGATAGCCTCCTGCTCACTCCCACCATCCAGGGGAAGACTTGTCTCTACTACCTGGGGCAGGTTCAGGGTCTCCATTCTCCTCACTGTCCCCTGTGTAATAGGGTAGCTTAGTTGCTGAGCCACCATCAGATATGGTTCCTAGTAGGGAGAAAATATCATATATAAACACAGTAGGAGGTCCAATGTCATGGTTCAGAAAAAATTCTGAAGCTTCATCCTTGTAGAGAGAGGGCTTAGAGCTCCTGCCTTTGAAGGATGCTGATAATTGTTTTAGTGGTCCAAGAACATTCCTGAAAGATCTTGTTCTAAATAGTTGGTCCTCAGGTTGGTGGTATTTGAAAAGGTAGAACCTTTAAGGTGTGAGAACTAGTGGAAAGCATGAAGTTGTTGGGTGCATCCTCTTGAAAAGTATTGTACGATGCTAATATCTTCTTCTTTCTCTTAATATTCTGGTCACTGTGAGGTGAGCATCTTTGCTCCACCACATGCTCCCAGCATGATAGGCTGCCTTGCACATGCCAAAAGAACTAAAACATCTGACAATGGAAGTCAAATCAAACTTTATTCTTTATAATTTGATTATCTCAGGCATTTTATTTCAGTAATAGAAAGCTACCAAATATGACATGTGATGTTGGGTTAGTTATGTAATCTTTGCTTATTGAAGATTCCCACACTGAGCAGACTCATGCAAACAAAGGAGTCTAAGGAACACACCTGGGCTGTTCAGCAGGCTCTCCTTCTCTGGACTTATGGGGTAATCTATCTCCTGGTACAGGACCTCATCAATAGCATCTTCAAATGTGGATAAGGCTATGGAAAGCAGAATGAGTTCAGACATTGATCCTGGAAGTCTTTCCATTACCAACAGACCATGGGATAGAACTATATTTCTGTCCACCCCGGATCTTAAACCCAGTCTCCACATAGTACTGCCCACATAGAAAATCATCCTATTTGAGTGCTCTATTTTTTAACTCAGGACGAATTCATGCCTTTTAAGTCTCCAAGTCCATGGTAGAGAAGGCAGTTTTTCATATAAGGAGAACAAGACTAAAATGTGTACTTAAAAAACAATTGGCCCAATATTCTCATGCATAATTTCAGGTCACAGAACTCCCAGGTCCCACCTTGGTGCTGTGTTCTCCATCTGAGCAGCTGAGTTCCCAGGATGATGAGAACAAGAAAGAGAAGGGCTCCCAGGATCATGCAGAGGATCCCAGGTAAGGAGAAGATGACAGGGACAGGAGCTGAGTGTGAATTGGTTCCTGAAGAAGAAAAAGTGCCATGAGTCTTTAGAGAGGACCATAAGCTCAGGAGAACCCAATTATCACTTGAGTCCTCAGGACCATAAAGTCCCTAGCTCAGACATTATATATATCTCAGGATATTACCACCCTAGATCCTGCTCTGGGCCGTGTCAACTATCTTCTGAGTCTGGTTTTAAGGGATTTCTATAAATTTAAGGCAGGTGAGGCAGTGGAGCTCCCTGAGTGTTACAATTTAACACAAATGATGGCTTCTTCTAACACCTGATCATCAAGCCTACTGTAATATGACCAGAGCATTGTAGACTCCATAGTGCAGAACTCTGAAAATCTGCTTATCTCTTCCATTACCGGGTTCAGAGGAAAAAACAAACAAATAAAGCAAAAAACACTTACTTCTCTGGGTGGGGCGAGTTGTTGTCCTTTCACCTGGGGATAAGAGAAGGAAAAAACACTGCACTGTTTTGGTCTGGGAATGTCTCTGGGTCCCACCCCCAACCATTGGCACATAGTTCTATCCCAGATGCCAGGAGATTGGGCACAGCCTTCCAGAGCCAGGGCTCAGGGCAGCAGGGCAGCCTGGGAAGCCCTTTGGATGCAAACACACTCCTTCAACCCTGGCCCCCC